GCTGAGCCTGCCCCTTGAGTTTTGATCCCCATTTTCAAGACCAGGACCCTGATTGCAGGTTCTGGCCCTCTGACTGCCCCCCTTCCATCCCTCCTTCCAAACTCTCCAGTCCAGGAAAACATGATGCCTAATAGTTCTTGGAAAGGGCCGTACCTTCCAGGTTTTGCAGATGCTGTTGCCTCGGCCTGGCACTTCTGCTCACCTCCCAGTGGCCGACTATACCTCATTGTTGATGACTGAGTCAGAGGTTACCTTCAGGAAGCATCCATGATGCTTTCAGGCTGGGTGGGGTGGCCCTTCTCAGGGTTCCCATTCCTCTGAGTTTTTCTACAGCGTGATCCTATGGCATTCCACAGTAGTCCTCTTCTTCTCTGCCTCCTTGTCTGGACTATGGACTCTTTGAAGGGCAGCAACCCTGCCTGCCCACTGCGGTAGGTCTCATGTGCTGCCTGGCTTGTAACAGGCAGCTCTTGCATGTTGCTTTCACAAGGACGTGCCACGTTTGTTGGAGCAGACACAGACGGGCTAGGCAGGATCACAATCACTGATGTTCGGGACCTTCCAAGCACCTTAACATGGGAGCCTGGCCTCAGTGGGCAGCTGGGAAGATGAGGACAGCAGCAATTGTGGGAGAACATTTCTCGCTGGAGAGAGTGTGGAGTCCCTTCCCCAGAGGCCGTCCTTTGAGCAGTGGGGAAAACAAAGGAAACAACCAGCCTTACCTCTGCCAGGGAGGCCATGCGACATGGTGGGATTCTACAACTTAGCGAGGTGCTAAGGTTGGGACGGTATTGGGGTCAGTTTCCTTGCCCCCCCCTTTTTGTTTATTTTTTATTTGATTGATTTATTTATTTTGAGACAGAGCCTCAAGCCGTCACCCTGAGTAGAGTGCTGTAGCATCACAGCTCACAGCAACCTCAAACTCCTGGGCTTAAGGGATTCTCTTGTCTCAGCCTCCCAAGTAGCTGGGACTACAGGCACCCACCACAACACCCAGACTTTTTTTGGTTGTAGCGGTCATTGTTTGGCAGGCCCAGGCTGGATTCGAACCCACCAGCTCTGATGTATGTAGCTTGTGCCTTACCAGTTTGAGCTATAAGTGCCAGCCATGCCTTCCCTTCTTTCTGAAACCAGTCACTTTTGGCATTCTGCCATGTGGCATTGGTGGGCATATACATTGTTGTTGCCTTTTTGAAATGGGATTAGACTGTTAAAATTAAACATTGTATCTTACATTGTAAGCTTACATTGTGGCCTTTTTGAAATGGGATTAGACTGTTAAAATTAAACATTGTATCTAAACATTGTATTAGTTACTTATGTTAACAAATCACCCCATACTTAGTGGCTTAACACAATGATTAAGGCTCAAAGCCTGTTGCTCAGTGGTTAGGGTGCCAGCCACATACACTAGGGCTGGCAGGTTTGAACCCAGCCTGGGCCTGCTAAACAACAATGACAACTACAATAACCACAATAACAAAAATAGCTGGGCATTGTGGCAGGTGCCTGTAGTCCTAGCTACTGAGAGGCCGAGGCGAGAGAATCACTTAAGCCCAAGAGTTTGAGGTTGCTATGAGCTGTGACATCATGGTATTCTACTGAGGGTGACATAGTGAGACTGTGTCTAAAAACAAAACAAAACAATGATTAACTTTTATATTTCATACAGTTTACAAGGGGCAGGAATTCAGAAGTGGTATCGTTGGATGGTTCTAGGTTAGGGTGTCTCATGAGGCTTCAGTCAAAATGCCATCTTCTGAAAGCTTGACTGGGGCTGGAAGATCCACTTTCAAGGTGACTCACTCACGTGATTTGCAAATCAGCACTGGCCATTGGCAGTGGGCCACCATGTAAACCTCTCCATAGGACTGGTTGAGTGTCTTTACAACGTGGCAGCTGGCTTCCTCCAGAGCAAGTCATATAAGAGAGAGTAAAGGGTAAGCCACAAGTCCTTTAAGACCTAACCTTAGAGGCTCGGCACCTGTAGCTCAGTGGCTAGGGCGCTAGCCACATACTCTGGAGCTTTTGGGTTGGATCCTCACCTGGACCTACCAAACAACAATGACAACTACTACCAAAAAATAGTCAGGGTTGTAGCCGGAGCCTGTAGTCCCAGCTACTCAGGAGGCTGAATCAAGAGAATTGCTTAAGCCCAAGA